CTGAAGACTGCCAAAAAGCTGGAGAAGATGGTGGCCAGGAAGCACACGGTGAGGCTGCAGAGTGTAGACCAAGGCCCACATCCCCGGGAGGCACAGCGCGGAGGAGCAGCCTGGGGGAACGTGCGGGATGCAGGGAGCCTAGGGAGGCGCGCCGGTTCGGGACCCAGGGTTGCGGCGCGGGGACTCTTGCCGGGCACTTCGGGGTGGGCGTGTGCACGGCCTGGGGCCGGGGCACCGTGCGCTTCCCTCTAGACGGGTGGTGTTCAACCCTGTGCAGCCTGTGAGGGGCCTTGGAAAAGCGGACAAAGCGACTTGAACCTGAGAAAGGACTTTCTGGAGTCCTGGGACTCTGCGTGTGCAAAGCCCTGGGAAGGCGGGGGCTGGAAGGGCAAATCCTGGGTGTCCAGAGAAGGAGCAGGGAAGCGCGTGAGAAGGGGTTGCAGGGCCGCGCTTCTCCGGTGCCGGAGAAGGTCTGCTAGAGAGGAGTGAAAGGGCCGCCAACCCCGAGGCTCCACAGTCTGCGCGCCAGGAGCAGTTCTGTTTGCAAGTTTTTTCTTGGTGGGGCCGAACAGGTGCTGGCAGACTGGGGAAGAGGCTCGCGGGGAGGCCTGGGCCTGGGGCTGGGGGAGGTGCAACGCCAAGAGCGGAGAGGTGCGGGTCCTCAGGTGTCAAAAGTTAATGTTTGATCCTCCCTGTGAATTTTGCCTCAGGCTACAGGTTGTTGGGGGTCCCTGGCTCACCTGCAAACTTGAGTGCAGGTCCCCAAATGTATAGACCTATGCTGGGGGCGCGAGGAGTGGGGAGAGAAAAGAGGGGATCCCGGTGGACACCTCCTTACCTGGCCCTGCCCAAGGCCCTCTTCTGCTGCCTCGGGACTTGAATTTCTAGTATGTTATGGTTTGGGTCTAGCTGTTCCCCCCAAGCCTCATGTGGTCATATGTGGACCTTTTGCAGAGGTTGCTAAATCTAGAGTGTGTGATGCTGGGATTAAGCGTGTGTGGTTACTAAATGACTCCACCGATCGGTTTGAAACCACCCTAAGCCCAGTAGCTTAGATACAGTAAGAGGCAGAAAGAGGCTTGTCTTGTCCCTTTCTTGCTTTGCTACCTTCTTCCCACCCTGATTGCTTCTCCTCTGTGATTCCTCTGCCATGCCACCCTGCGTTGGAGCCAGATAACTATGAGCTGAAACCTATGCAGAACTTGAGCCAAATAAACTTTTTCTCCCTTAACTTTGGGCATCGGATATTTTGTCTTAGCAACAAGCAAAATAACTAAGACACAGTACATTCGATTACCTTAGGGAGTTTGGGAAAGGGAGAGACCCTGCAGGAGATTCTAGAGCTGGCAAGAGGAAAGGGTCACTGGAACCGTGGTGTGTCAGGGGGCCCTCGAGTGGACACTGGGCAGTAATGAGATGGGTTCCTACAACAGCCAGAGCCTGAGTTTCTGCACTTCTGAGAAGGTAAGATTCTGGGGTGGGGGAGCCTCTGCAGGCAGGTAGGAGATGAGTTAGGACTTAGCAGGATTTCCAAGGGCTTGACTGGTGCCTGGGAAGAGCCCGTGAATGAGACCCACCCATCTGCAGAGCTCAGGGAGCATCTCCTTCACATTCTCAGTCCCTACCCTTTCCCAAGCCTGGGTTCCATCCAGGCTGCTCCAGAATCCCCTTTACACCAAGCCTCAAGCCACACGGAGCACTTTCCCACCAGTATCCTGGGCAGAATTCTATTTCAGGGAGACAGATTATCCCAGCCCAGTGTCTTACAACCACCCACCCCACCTGGGGGGCTCTAGGTGCGGTCAGGGAAGCTCAGGAGACCTGGGGAAAGTTCCTCCAGTTGGGGTAGAGCTCTGGCCGAAGAGGAAGGGAGCTGCCGAGCCTTCCCCTCACTCCTTTTGTTGCCCTAGCCAAGGCACTATGCTTCCCTTCTTTGGGCCTCTTTTTCTTCTTCTGTGAAATGGGAAGGGGGAACAGTGCCCCCTGTTTATGGGCTCCAGAGGAAGTGCCCGGGGCTGTCTCCAGGAAAAACTGCAAGGCTGGCTGCAGGGTCCCTGCCACACAGAGCCAACTACAGCCACGTCTGCACCTGGGCTCTTGGCAGCATCTGGGTGGGCACAGAGCTCTGGGCATCTGGACAAGGAAAGTGGGGCTGCTCTGGGAGTGAAAGTGGGCCCGCCCAGTGCACGCAGGCCCGAGACACACTTCCTATAATGAGGCAGATCCTCCATGTTGCAGCTCAGGCCAGGTTTTTCTGCCAGTCCTGAAGTCTCAGTGGCTTAGGGCTTTATCGGAAGCTTTGAGAGTGCAGCACCTAAAGCAGCTTCCAACAGACAACCAAGTACCAACAGTCACGGCCACACACACACACACACACACGGTGACATTAATAGACACGGCCGCACACATACAGCCACACACAAGAGCGAAACGAGCAACAAGGAGCCTCACTGCACGTGAGACACAGCTGCTCGGGCTGGCAGGACACACGTGACCATCTGACACACCCTGACCACCATAGGCAACCACACAGGTGTACACACAACACAGTCCCTCCCAGACATGCAGAGCTGCCACACTGACCCACCAACGTAATGCTGCCTACGTCCCCTGGGGGCAACTAGACTCAGTGCAGGCTGCAGCGCCACAGCCCCGCTCCTGGGCCACACACCCACCGAGACACACCTGGCAACATTTGTGCACAGCCTTCTGAACCCAGCTCGCGGCTCTTTTTCCTCAGTATGACCCCATTATGCAGTGATACACACTCATCAATGACTTGGAAATGGCTAACACTGTTGAATTTTCAGGAATTTCTCGAGATGCTTATTAAACATAGCCATTATAAAGGATAAATAAATTATCTGCTAATTGCACGAGAAAACACAAGTAATGGATATTCCAAAAATCATCACCTCCTAATTATTTTACTACCAGTCTGGAGATCGTTTACTTCTAGTCAGTCTAGCGGGTACAAGTACTCTGTGATGATATGGGTACCACACAGCTCCGCCCGATGCCTCCTTCAGTTCAGGGACAGCGTGTTGATAATGTGAAATTGGCCACGGGAAGAGTATTTACATCGCAGGCAGTGGCAAGGGCTACAGCTTGTGGGTTTTTCTTCTTAAGAACCACCTGTCGAGTATGGGCCAAGCGCAGGACCGCAGTGATCCCTGCTGCTGTGGCCATGCACACACAGACAGGTCTGTGCTCACACCCACACAGATCGTACCGGGGTTAGAGCCTGGAAGCCTGACTTCAAACCCCAGCCGAGCCCTTACAAAATGTGTAACCCTAGGCAAATTATTTAAGCTATTCCTTGAAGTCTTTTTCTGTAAAAACAAGATGATTCTATAAAAATGGAGGTGGTGACTAGGACCTACCTTGTGGAGTTATGACGATTCAGTGCAAATAAAATGTTTAGAATAGTGCCCCACACATGGTACATAGTAAACCTTTAGTCTCTCTTTCTTTCCTTTGTTTTTCTTTCCCTTCTCTTCCCCCCTACCCCGTGCCTCCTACTTTCCTTCTAAACTGGGAGTTGAGCCCAGGGCTTTCATTCTAATCCCCTTTTGAGACAAGGTACTAAATTGCTAAGTTGCCTCTGGCTGGCTCAATCTTGTGACCCCCCCGCACACACAAAGAGCACTGTGTCCACAGGTGTGCACCGCATACGACACAAGCCTTTAATTAACATTTCACGTGTAGTACATCCCCAAGTTCGCACGCAAACATCTGCAGGTCACACCTCCGAAAATAGCCTGAACCCAAGTTCTCAGGGAAGTTAAGGACCGACGGAGGGCAGCCCGCAGGACATGGTCCAGGTTGTGGCAGTTGCAAGTTGGCAGCTGGAAGCGTGCAAGGGACATACAGGACACAGTCAGCTGGTGCTTCCCAAGGAACCGATGTCAGGACAGCAGACCAGGGCTGGCTTCTGCACCCTACACTTCACCTCCATCAAAAAGCTGGGAAGCAAAAGGACTGGGTTCCGGGAAAGGAGCGGGAGGAAAGACAGAGCTAAAACAGGTCAGGGATGCGTTCAGGGCCTGGCATCCAGATTTTCAAATCTGAGCTTCCTTCTTCCCCCTCCGGCCTTTTGCCTTGCTCACCCATACATCTGTTCACACAGGGGAGCAGTAGGCTGTGGGTGGAACTCTTAGGCCTCAGAGATGAAAACAATTCTCTGTATCTAAGAGGAGAGCAATTATTTGTCCACACGAACATGAATGTCCCTGGTTGGAGTTTCCCCAAGCTGAAAATTACCTAAAAGTTCCATCCATAGATCAACGGAGAAAGAAATTACAGGGCTCACATACTTAGGTCCGTGCTCTGTTTTTTATATCAAACCTTTCAAAAGGCAGGGTTACTGATAGTGACAGCAAGCATAGCAGTGGCTGTCTGGGGTGGGAGGTGGTGGGAGGGAGGGATGACGGACGGCTCTGCGGAACGCCTGGGGCTGATGTCTGTGCTCCTGTCTTGATTGTGGCGACGTTTTCATGGATTTATACATCTGTCAAAACTCAGCAAACCATCCCGTGTGATATGTGCAGTTTGTTGTGTGTCCATGTTGCCTTGATAAAGCTATTTGACCACTTAACAGTTTGCCCCGAGCGTCACTCCAACAGAGCGAGTGTTTACATACTGCCTATCCCCAGTGTTACTTGGGCAGGTGTCGTTTCAACCAGTCAGTTTTTGTATTGAATACATTTCATAAAACTGTCATTTTTATATTTCCTGTTATATTATCTTGTGAAAATTAATTTTGAGATATGCAATTTTTTGGTTATCCTGTTATTTAAATAATTGGACTGGTATGTGGTTAAAAAGCTCACAGTACCCAGGCATAGAGGTGTGTGCCTATAGTCCCAGTGATTCTGGAGGCTGAGGCAGGAGGATTGCTTGAGTCAACAAACTGGAGACCAGTCTGGACAGCATAGCGCGATCTGTCTCCAAAATACTCAGAGTGCGTGCCCTCTAGAAGTTCGCGGGTGGGCTGGGAGGAGGGAGGCCACAGACACACAAGTGGCCATAATAAGCCAGGAAGTAATTCATTTGGGTGGCAGTTGTGGGGAAGGAGGGCACACTGGTAGTAGGCAGAGTAATGCAGACAGGAGTCAGGGTGAGGCGTCAGGGATGGACCCTGGCTCGACTGTGTGGTGGGACATGGAGTTAGAGAGCTGATCTGGGCCAGAACTTTTCCTTGTCTCTCCTTTCTGCTTCAACTCTGTCCTTTATCGATATGTCCATCTGTATCCTCTGCCAGCTCCGTCAAGCCCAAAGTTTTTTGTTTTTGTTACCGGGGATCGAATTTGGGTCCCTGTGCTTATGGGGCAGGTGGGGAAACCACTAAGCTAAATCCCTGGCTAAGATTTTCTTTTTTGTGTGTGGGAGGGATCGAACTCACGACCTTGCACCTGCTAGGCAGGTGTGGTGCCACTGAGCTAAATACCCAGCCAAGCCCACAGTTCTTACCTTGTGACCTCCCACAGGAAGGAGCCTTGGATCTTCTGAAGAGGCTGAACAGCTGTCAGATGTCTATCCAGCTGCTTCAGGTGTGGGGGATCCCCCGGGGTGGCACCTCTAGGGGAGGGAAGGGCCCTGGGGGAAGACGGGCCAGGGTGGTGCCTGGGAGGAATTCCTGAGGGGAGTCCTGGGAAGGAAGGGGCACCTTGAGGTATTGACATGGTGGGTGGCGGTGGTGTCTTGTAGGCGCAGGGTACTTTCTGGACTTGGGGAGCCTTTGGGTCTGGGGAAAGGCTGATTTGCTTTCCCTGAATACCAGCCCTGGTCTGTAGGAGCCAAGAGGTCCATGACCCAGGGAGAAGGAAAAGTTCCCCTGCTTTCCGATCTTCCTGGGATTGCTCACACAGACCCAAACTTTATAGACGTGCCCAGCCCTAAAAGATGAGCACAGGCCCAAGCTGTAGTAGCACAAGTTGCTCTAAGCAGAGACCCGAGTCACCAGAGTACTGGGAACGGGGTGGGGGGTCCCTGTTGTTACCAACAACACCCCATGGGCAACCCCCCAGCTTTTCATCAAAGCCAAAGTTACCTGTCAGTATAGGGCTGAACAGCGAGGCGGATCAGGGCCGCAGCTAGAGGGAAGCTCCAGGTTTGGGGTTGTTCCCCAGCCAGGGGTCAGGGAAGGACCCTGGAAGTAGGTTGGGGGAGGTGGTGGCTGAGCTGGGGCCAATCCTGCCAGTTGGGGTGGCCAGTCCCGTGTATCCATTCCCAGACCAGTTTTTGTCCTGCTTCTTTGCAGACAACCAGGATTGGAGTTGCTGTTAATGGGGTTCGCAAGCACTGCTCAGACAAGGAAGTGGTGGCCTTGGCCAAAGTCCTCATCAAAAACTGGAAGCGGCTACTGGGTGAGATTTGAACCATGTTTTTTTTTTTCCCCCTAGCATTTGGGAGGGGGCAGTGCCTGGCTCACAGTGGCAGGCGTTCAGTGTATGTTTGTTAAGTGACTTGATGAATAGCAGATGGCCTCTGGCCAGGGTGTCAGCTGGTGAAGATTGCCAGTATTGTGTGCGCAAGTGTGATATGCGTAGGCAGGCAAGCTTTGCTGTACACGTGCCTGTGTATATTTCTGTATGCATGCTCACGTGTTTGTACATACATTGCATGTCTGTATGTATACATTTGCATGGCTATGTGTGTCAGTGTGTGCGCCAGTGTATTTATGTCCCTGTGAGCATGTGTATTTGCACACATAGGTGTGTGTGTGTGTGTGTGTGTGTGTGTTGGGAGTGTATGCAGCTGTTCCTATCCCTGCCCTTCATTCCCTTCTCCCCCAGAGACATGCAGGATTCTGCTGAGGAAGAGCTGATTTGAGAGGCAATGTTGCTTTTTTGTGTTCAGATTCCCCAGGATCTTCCAAAAGACAGCAAAGAGAAAAAGCAAAGAAGAAGAAGAAGAAGAAGGAGAAAGGGCTTGAGTGTTTGGATTGGAAGCCAGAAGCAGCCATTTCTCTCCCCAGGAAGAAACAAGGGGAAGAATCTAAGAACAGGTACTTTCGTCTGGGGTGGAGAGATGGGACTGACACTTGTCACGTCCTCTGTGGCAGCTTCGCGGATGCCCTCTCACTGAGGCCCCACAGTGCCCGAGGTGGCAGATGTTGTGTCTCCTGCTGCGCTCCGTCTAGGGGACTCTGGCTCAGCCTGACAGCCACACGACACCATATTGACCACAAGTGACACTGGGTAGAAAGACTTGGGGAAACTGTGTGGCAGCTTCAGGCCTTGCTCATCTTCAGCAGTTCTCACAGCAGACCACAGCCACCCAGGACTGTTCTCTGGATCACCCAGGCGACAGTCCAGATGCAGGGAAACAGAACACGATGGGGGGGTGCCCCGGAGTGAGAAGCCCCATGTCTCAAACGTGGTGACCTTCCCATACAGAAAGCTATGGGGATCCGGTAGGGATAATATCCACTGACAAGACCCACCGACCCAAGGGCAGCCGAAAGCTGCCTAATTTTCTGCTAATTGTTTGTAGTTTATTCTCACTTTACCAGTGGGTCATTTGTGCTGTAATGCTTTTCCCTCATAAGGCAGCCCTCACTCTGCACTTGTCAAGTGGGCAGGGCTGGTGAGAGCAGGCATTTATTTATCCATGGAGAGCAGGTGTTTGGTTAAATCTTTACTCAACATTCCTGTTTAGCCATGAAGGAGCTGAAGATCAGAGGAGCAAGGACTTTCCCAAGATCATGAGCTATTAAGTGACAGAGTAGAATTCAAATCTTTGTTGGGACTCCACCCCTTTGCAGAGAGTTGCAGAATAGTTACTTGTCTCAACTCTATCCCTGTCCCTCCTTCCCTGCTCTAGCTACAGTGACCCCCCAAAATCACAAGAGTCTTGGGTAGGGCCCCAATACCACACCCATCATCATAGATTAAAGCTTTCATAGATGTGTACATAAGTGAGGAAGGGGGGTTGCTTGTAACCAGGAGTTTGAGGCCAACCTGGATAACACGGTGAGATCCTGTCTCAAAAAAAAAAAAAAAATCAGAGATGAAATCAACAAAAGCAGACAAGTCTTACCTGTTCTCTGACAGATCAAATCATTTCTTGTGAGTTTAGTCTTGTTCGTTTTCTTAGTTACTTTTCTCTTGTTACTGATACAAAATACCCAATAGCCAAAGTTAAAGGAGAGAGAGTTTAGTTAGCTCAAAGTTTGTAGAGGTTTCAGGCTATAATCAGCCTGCTCCAAGGTAGGATGGCATCACAGAGGAGAAACAGTTCATGTTGGGCAAAAGGTAGCAAAGCAACAAATTATTTCTATCCCTTATATCTTATCCAGGCTACTTAGGGCGGGCAGCACTCACACCCTTAATCCTAGTGCCGTTGAGCCTAGCCTTATCCCAGTGTCACACATTCTGGATCCAGCCACCTCTGTAAAAGCCCCTCTTATGACTGCAATGAGGCTTTGGGGGAGACATCTAGACGCAAGTCATACCGTTCTTCTAGCAGATAAGAGGGTGGTGCTAGATAGCTCCTATCTAAACACACCTACTATCCAAGCTGCTTTAACATTTTCAGTGTACCTATCAGTTGACCCACAGTATCTACTATGAGGAACTGGTTTTAAGAAATTAATCAGATGGCCAGAAACGCAGCTCAGTGGCACCGCGCCTGCTTGGCAAGTGCAAGGTCCTAAATTCGATCCCTGATACCCCCAAAAAAGAAATTAATCAGATGAAAGCATAAAGGTTATGGTCTATGTGTAGTATTATTTCTGCTGGTGTTTCTGAAATATTTTGAAAGTTTGAGGCTTTGGTTGTTGTTTGTTTTCAGATCCTGAGGCTCAAACCCTTGCCTAAGCTGGGCAAATGCTCTAATCCCTCTGAAAGTAAAAAAAAAAAAAAAAAAGAACCTTTATCATAATAGTATAAAATAATTTTTTTGTGGCAATCACTTTAGGAAAAGAGGCTGTGAGAGGAGTGGTTCTTGACCAGAAGGGAGATATTCCCCAACCACCCACTCCTGTTTTTGATTGTAAAAGAAATAGATACGGCAGTCGAGTGCAGTGCATGGCGGAGTCCTGCACACTGAGAACTGCAGCCAGCCCTCCCTGTCCCTGGGCTTCGCACGCATGGGTGACATCTGCGAATGCAACCAAGTGCAGATCAAAAGTATCTGGAGAAAATATGTCTCCACCGAGTGTAGACATTCTTTTTGTCATTATTTCTTAAACAGTGTGGTATACCAAGTATTTACACAGCAGTTACATTAGGTTTGAAAACTAATCTGGAGATGATTTAAAGTATATGGGACAGTATGAGTAGGTTGTATGCAAACACTGCAGCGTTTTATATAAGGGGCTTGAGCATCAGCAGATTCTGGTACCTGTGGGGTTTCCTGGAAGCCCATGGACAGAGGAAGGACTGCATTTATTTGATTTAAAATGCTATTGGGGGGCCAGGGATGTAGCTCAGTAGCACCGCGCCTGCCTGGCAAGAACAAGGTCCTGAGTTTGATTCCTGGTACCAGGAAAACAACAACAACAGCAACAACAATAATAATAATAAATGTTACTGGGGTTCCTGCAGAGAAGTACTGCAAAGAATGTTTAATGATGTAGGGAAATGTTCACCAAGTATTGAAAGCAGTTGTGTGTGATATAGGATGATCCTATTTTTATAAAAATAAAATGAGTTGAATTTTATGAATATGCATAGGAAAGAAGATTAGAAAAATCTGTGATTACTTCAGGGTGGCAGAATTGAGAGCCAGCTTGCTCGCTTTCTTTCTTTTGTTCTTTCTTTCTTTTCTTTCTTTCTTTCTTTCTTTCTTTCTTTCTTTCTTTCTTTCTTTTCTTGTCTTTCTTTGTGTGTATGTATTACTGGGACTGAAACAGCACCTTTGCACCGAGCTGCATGCCCAATCCCCTCTTTTATTTTTTAACATTTTAAATTCAAGACAGAGTCTCACGAAATCACTGAGTTGTCCATTCTAGGCTTGAACTTGTGATCTGCCTTCCTTAGCCTCCCAGGTTGTTTGGATTGCAAGTGTGCACAACTACACCTTGCTCTGTTTTCTTTTCCGATAAATATGTATTAGTTTTGAAATAAGAAAAATATGAAACTATTTTTTAGAGCAAAGATATTCTGGACAACTATGCTTACCAGTAGTTTCACATTCTACGCTGTACGATCCATTTTCAAATTTTGTTTTGTTCTCCCCACTCCCCGCCATGATCCTGTATTTCATTTGAAATCAGAAAATACAATAGCACTTTTGAAAAATAAAGAGTGATGAAAATCCATTGTAATAGCCAAGTGTGGTGGGTGGTACATGTCAACAATTCCAGCACTCTGAGAGGCTGAGGCAGGAACCCTCCCAGTTTAAGCCTAGGCCGGGAATCTTTCTCAATCCCCAGTCCTGGGGAAAAAAAAGAAAAGAAAAAGAAAAAATGGGAGGAAGGAATGAAGGGAGGGAAGGAGGGAGAGAGGGGGGAAGGAAAATAACAGATAAAAGCAAAGAAAATCTGTTGTAGAAATCATAGAAAATATAGACAAGTAGAAAAGAATTACCTACATTTCCACAACCCAAAGGCAATCGCTGTACTTTGATATATAATTTTTCTATCTCCCTTTGACTTGTTTGCCAAAACTATCACCAATTGTACAGTCTGCTTTCTAAAGTGTCATATTGGACCTATAATTGTGTACCATCTTCTAATCCTTTCATTTGCTCACCTTGCAGTCGCATCCTGCTTGGAGAACTGCAGCTGGCCTTGGACACTTCCATGGGTGTGCTGTGTTTTCCCAGGGGGGTTGGAAAGGTGCCTGGCAGGAATGCCCTGATGGTTCCCTTCGTGCCTAGTATAAGGTTAACGTTCACTGACCTGTCCGGGGCACGTCTAGTACTGCTAGTCGGACCGGTGTGGGGCGCCAAAGGGCGACTACTGTTTGTGCTCCGGGGGGTCAGAACACCTGTTTGGTTCTGAGCACCCTGGCAAATGAACAATCAGGATGGAGGGAGTCTTGTGAGGTACAGTTGAAAGGCAAGAGGCTGAGCTACTGGGAGCAGAGACTGAACAGACTACAGGACTTACCTGTAGAATAGAGGTGTAGACATCCAGGTAAAGATGGCAGCCTGAACACCTGCGTTTCCCTTGGCTCTATCTCCAAACCCCACTCGGCGATCAAGACAGGGATTTCTTTTAAAGGCTTATAAGGACAACTGATGTGGGAGAGGAGACCATTGGACAAGTTCTACCTGAACTCGATCTCTTACTCTCACCCTTAAGCTCTGAGTGACTTGTTAGTATGACCCCCCCACCAAAAAAATCATTATCTCATTTTCTTTTTCTTTCTTATTTTTTTGTACCGGGAATCAAACTGGGGCCTTTGTGCTTGCAAGGCAGGTGTCAGAACCACTGAGCTAAATCCCCAGCCCCTCCCTTCCTTTTTCTTAAAATAAAATATTTAATTTGTAATATACTATATTTCTTGTTTATCTGTACAATATTTAGTTTATTACACAGGTAATTACTTGCTCATGTAGAAAGTTTTATAAATACAAATACTCATAGCTCAGTGGTAGAACACTTGCCTAGCATGTGTGAGGTTTGATCCCCAGCACTAAAAATGAAAAATTACCAATCAAGAAAATATTTGAGATCTTCTATTACTTGGAAAGAGGTATGTTATATATTGCATATATGCACATATGTAATTTATATGTGTGTATATATACACATTTCCCTATGCATCACTACTCAAAAAATTCTTGTTTTAATAAAATGGAGGGCTGGGGATTTAGCTCAGTGATTTCACTGCCTGCCTTGCAAGTGCAAAGATCAGAGTTCGATCCCTGGTACCAAAAAAAAAAAGAGTTAACTAAAATGGAATTATATTCTGTATACTATTTGCAACCTTTTTACACACATATATTCATTCATTTCATCAGTAAGTCATGTTTAGTATCAAAGCTTAGAAAATTAAACAAAAGAAGAAAGTAACAGAAATAACCACTGTTAACATATTAATATATATCTTTCTCATCTTTTTATGTACATTTATATTTTCTTTTTGTTGTTGTTGCTTTGCTTTTTGAGACAGGGTCTCACTATGTAGTTCAGTCTGTCCTTGAACTCACTATGTAGCCCAGGCTGGCCTCATACTCATGGTGATCCTCTTGCCTCAGCCTCCTGAGTGCTGGAACCACAGGCATGAGCCACCACGTCCAGTATTTTTTTCCCTTCGGTACTGGGATCGAACTCTGGACCTTGCTCTTGTGAGGCAGGTGCGGCACCACTGAGCTAAATCTTTGGACCTTCAGCTTCTTTTATCTTAATGGTAACTCATTACCGTTATGTGTTCCCCAAACACTGTACCCACATTAGTGAGATACAAGCTTCCGCCACCATGAGGGCCTAGAGCTTCTGCCTCCAAAGCTTCCTCTCTTCGTGGGTGCAAAATTTGAAGATTGATTGTTGCAACTGCAAAAATGATTGTAGCTTCCACCCCCTCCAAAATTGCTTCCATTACCAAATCCACGGTAGCTAACTCCTCTGCCATCATATTTACCTCCACCGTGGCTGCCACCAAAGCCACCTCCACAACCACCACCAAAATTTCCAGAACCATTTCAACCTCTTTGGCTAGATGAAGCACTAGCCATCTCCTGCTTTGATGGGACTGGCCTCACTTCACAACTCTGGCCACTCACAGTATGGTATTTCTGAGAGACAATCACCCACAGAATCGTGGTCATCACAGGTTACAGAAGCAAAGCTCCTCTTCTTCCCACTGCCTCTGTCAGTCATGATTTCAATCACTTCAATTTTTCCATACTGTTCAAAATAATCTTATAGGTGATATTCTTCAGTATCTCCTTTTTTTCTTGTTGTTTTGAGACAGGGTCTCACTATGTAGTTGAGACTGACCTAGAACTCACTATGTGGCCCAGGGTGGTCTCAAACTCACAGTGATTCTCCTGCCTCAGCCTCCCGAGTGCTGGGATGACAGGCATGCACCACTACACCCAGCCCCAGTATCTCCTTTAATGCCACCAACAAAGACCTTCTTCACAGTTGGGTGGGCCCATGGCCTAGGAGAGTCTTCTCTTGAGTCTTCTCTCTGGCTCCGCAACTCTCCTGTCCACCTTGTGTGGCCCTGCATTCTTGGCTGCATGGCTCTTCCACAGTGGCGTGAGTGACAAACCCAAAGTCCCTGGAGCGTTCGGTGTTTGGATCTCTCCTTGCCACAGTCCGTCAGTGACCCCTACTGCTCACAATGGCTTCTCAGACTCTCATCAGTTTCAAAATTCAGCTGTTCAGACTCCCTAGGAGACTCTCACTTAGACAACAGCAGTCGGAAGAGAGACTGAGGATGCTTCCTCAGCAGAGTCTATGAGCAAAAAGGAGTGAGCTGTGGAGCATACTCTTGAAATAAGAAATAAGAATGAGAAACACTTGCCCACAGCACACCATCCTGGCAAAGATCTACCTACGGATGTCATTTTTACGTACCTGTAGGCAGAATGTGCAAACTATCGTCTCCTTTTTGTCTTCCTGTTGTATTCTAAGCCTTTTTTTTCATGTTCCTGAATAGTTTTCCTGATGATTATTTGTAGTATCTGCAGGATGTGTCTGGTTTGTTCTAAAAAAGAAGACAATGAGGCAGGGCCAGAAAGTGGTGGATTTCTGTGGAGCCTCTGTTCAACCTCCTCTCTTCCGCTGCAGATGGCACCTTGGGGAGGACCCTTGAGGAGGAACTCCCAAGGCCAAGCGTGGGGCAGGAGGCGTGGGGCAGGAGGCGTGAGGCCTCTGTTCTCCCTCTCTGGTTACTGCCTCCCCAGCCCTGTGCTGAAACTGGGGTGAGGGTTGGGGCTGGATGTGTCTGGCCCACAGGATGAGCAGGGATGATCCCCAAAGCTGCGTCACCCTATCTTCCAGAGCACCTGGAGGATGAAGTAGGATCTAGGGATCTTTGCGGACAAACTGCACAGGCAGGGATCATCTGGACAAGCTGAAGACAAGATGCCTAGGATGGTGGTGCATGGAGGACTTCTTTGCACTGGGAGCTCCTGTAGGGACTTAATGATCTCGGGTCTTCTTCCCAGCCAGCCCCAACCCATAGGAACCTTTCCTTCCACCTGACAGCTGAGGGAACTGAGGATCAGAGAGAATGACCTGCCCAGGGGCAAGGCTAGGATGACAGCTCAGGTGGCTACATGAAGCGTGTTTGTGTGTGTGTGTGTGTGTGTGTGTGTTTGTGAGTGTGTGTATGCAGGTAGACAAAGGTTTGGGAGGAAAAACAACATCAAATTTAATAGCAGGACCGAGGATGTAGCTCAGTGGTATAGCTCTTGTCTATCACTTGCAAGGCCCTTGCTCGTGTGAGGCGCTGCAGCACTGAACTAAATCCCTGGCCCCTCAGCCTTTTTTTTTCTTTTTTTTTTGTTTATTGAGTTTATTGGTACATTTAGGGATACAGTACAGTTACATTCATTGTTGGGATCATGTACCTTTACATGGCAAGTCTTGATTCTCATTTTTTTCCCCTTACCTCTGCCCTCCCTTCACCCCCTCCTCCCCTCCCCATCTACAAACACTTTATTTTCATCTTTTCATTCTCTCACATTTTTTTCTTTTCCCTTTTTGTTCTTCCCCACCATCTACAAACACTTTATTTTCATCTTTTCATTCTCTCACATTTTTTTCTTTTCCCTTTTTAGCCTTTTTTTTTCTTAATGGTAACTCATTACCGTTATGTGCTCCACACACACTATACTATCCCTCCCCAGCAACACAAAAATAAGTCGATAAACTTAATAGCTGTTACCTCTGGGAAGTTTCTTCTCCAACCTTTTTGCATTTATGGACTATTTGACTTCCACAACAAGTGCTTAGAGAGCACCTATTGGGTACCAGGCACTGTTAAATGCTTGGAGTAGAGCCAGGCACGTATTTGACTGGGGCCCCCAGAAGCAGACTCTGACACACGGATTCAAGTGCAAGTGGTTATTTGGGAAGTGAGCCAGGAAATGCAGGCAGAGGAGTGGGGAGGGGGAGGGGGAGGGGAAGGCGGCCAGCAGCACATGCGGTGCTGGTTCGCAGGCAGCTTACTGCTGTGGGCAGCAGGGCTCAGAGCCTGCTGGGGAGCTCTGGGTGAGAGGGCAGAGCACACATCAAGTTGTCCCCCTTGAGGGCTTGTAACCTTGGTTCCCTTGTCCTCTGGCTGAGGGCTGCTACTGGGGTGGCTGGCTTGGAGAAGGCTGAAGGTGGAGGCCCAGGGCACGTACAGAGGAAGCCTGGGTCCCAGGGACCTGGGAGGGTGTGTGCCTGAGGGGAAACGGGCTCAGCAGTGTCCACCATGGTGACCAAACTCTGCTCTTAGGAACTTTCCTGAAGAAAAGTTAGACAATAAATATACTAAGGAAGGAAGCTCTAGAGTGTGTCTGTGATAGTTAACTGATTGTGTCGACTTGAGTAAGAAATGCCCAACTAAACTGGATCATCATAGCTCTGAGTGTGGCTGAAGGGACTAGCTAAAGACAGAAGACTCATCCCCAGTGTAAGTGGCGCCAAGCGATCGGTTTGTTGCCTGAATAGAATAAAAGATAAATGAAGAAGGAACGTAAGCTTCTGTTTCTTTGGAAGAGCTCCAGTCTTCACCTTCACCCCAGACATGTCATCAGCTTCCAGTGCAACCCATCAGCCTCCTAATGTGGACTTGCACGGGACACTATAGTGAGATTCAGGCCTTGAACTGGATCCTTTGGATCTGCAGTGCACAGACAGACCCTCTGCACTCTTCCGCACCTGATTCTGTGGCCACTGTAAGCCAATCTTGTAAATCATTATATATGTGTATATCTTACATTAAATCTGTTTCTCTACTAAGCACTGACTGATGTTAGAAGATGTCTCACGCTGTGTAATTAGAAGAAAACTGGATAAGAAGATGGGGAAAGTCAGGCATAATAGAGGCACATGCCTAGATTCCAGCATTTGGGAGGCTGAGGCAGGAGGATCACTGTGAGTTTGAGACCTCCCTGGGCTACATAGTGAGTTCAAGGACAGCCTGAACTACATAGTGAGACCGTATCTCAAAAGGCAAAAAACAGTCCCCGGTACCAAAAAAAAAAAAAAAAAAAAAAAAAAAAAGCAAAAAACAAAACAAGGGGAATGGAATTTATAAATATTAATTTTATAAAACCAATAAAAGGAAAAATGGCATTAGAGATCTTACAAAGAATGTAGCTAAAAGTAGTATAGAAAATTAAAAAAAAACAACAAAACCTTTTCACCTCTAATCTCATCACTCTAACCTAACAGTGGTTCTAGCATGTGGATGTATTTTCTTTCCATCTTTTTTCTTCTAGGCATGGGTCTTGTATGACTTCAGGCACAGCATACCTCTAATTTCGTCCCTTGCTGTTTCACTTGCCATCTTAAATTCAGTTTTTCCACCTATTTCCAAACCTGGTGAGCTTCTCCTTTCCTCTTCCTAAGGTGCCCTGTAGGAAGGCCAAAACCCCTCTCTCGGGTTCTCTGCCAGCAATGCCAGGAATCCAGTCCGCAGGGACTCCGACCGCCAAGGCTTGACAGACAGACAGCGAGGAGAACAAGGGCCCTCCGAGATCTAGTTAGGAGTAATTTGTTAATCACGTAACGGAACACATGTCATTTACCTGCAGATATTGGATGGGGGAGGCAGGGGTGAGCAGCCAGCATTGCCTGGACCCTTCCCCACAGGCCTCACTCCGGGATGCCTTCTCCTAGCCTCTCGGGGAATCAACAAGACCAACAAGACCATCTAATCTACAGTTTCTCTTCTTTCAGGAGAGACTCTGTGGACTCCAAGTCTTCTGCTATCTCCTCTCCAAAAAGGCCATCGCTGGAAAGGTAAAGGAAGCCACTGACTTTTCCTTTGCAGAGGTCCTGTTCAGTGCATGTCCCTCTCTTGGCTAATGGAGGAAGGGGAAACCTTGTGCATTATGTTCCTTCCAAATTCCAGGACACCGCCCCCACAGTGTGGCTTCCCCACAGGGGTGGCTGACCACATACATTACACCATCACTGTGCAGGAAACATTCTGAAGGTCAAGTTGAACCCAGGAAGGACCAGGATCTCTGAAGCCTGTCCTTGGAGTCATTATCTCTGGATTTGGGCTGAGCTGGTTAGGGTATCCACCCTCTGGTACCAAAAATCAAGTCTCTCACTCATCAGATACTGAGGGAGGGCCTAGGAACTGTTCCAGGCACCAGAGATACAAAAGGAAACAAAAGAAACAAAAGCCTTCACAGTCTCATTTACATACAGTGAATACATTATATGGTGAGGCGCAGGGAGCATACTGGGTGATGGGGAGGGTTGGGGGGGGGAATAGTTCTGGGTCCTTTAGAAACCAGAACTGCTGGAGGGCATGAGCATGGGATTATGGGATTGCATTACCGGGTTTAGGAGTCTTTTCCTGCAGGGGCTGGAGTGGGAGCTGAAAGACTGGTAGGATCATTCAGGAAAGATGTGACAGTAGCGTGGGTCAGGGTAGTGGTGGGGAGACAGGAAGAGGGTGTGGACAGGGTCACATTTTGAAGAGGTACCTGGCAGGATTTCCTGACAGTGGATGTGGGGTATGAGAGAAAAAGCAGAGCCCAGATAATCCCAAGATTTTTCCTCTTTACGGATAGAGTTGTCATTAGTTGACCTGAGGAAAACTGCACAGAAATAAGGTCTGGGGCAGAATATCAGGAGTTCAGGCTTAGAACCCAGGTATGTGGTGCACACCTGTAATCCCAGCACTCTGAGAGGCTGAGGCAGGAAGATCAGAAGTTCCAGCCCAGACTAGGCACTAGTAATTTGCAGAGATCCTCATTCAAAATGAAAAAGGGCTGGAAATGGAGCGCAGTGTAAAGGCCCTGGCTCTATATTCCGTATTGCTATTTAAAAAAAAAAAAAAAAATCAGGCTTGTATTGTGGATTTGCACTGTGTGCTAAATCATTTAGGCAGAGAAGTTGAATAAAGTTGTACAAGAAAATCTAGGTCATAAATATGAATTTCAGTCATTAGACAAGATTATGGATGAAGGAGTGAGTGTGAATTGTGGCCCAGCAGGGAGGTCAGAGGAGCAGGCTGGGAGAGAGCGGGGTAGGCCAGGAAGTGGGGTGGAGATGGATTGAGACAAATGGTGAGGGTCCGAGAGCCATACTGGGCAGCCTGGCGGAGAATGAAGGTATCGATTTCTAGGAGATTATGTGAGAGAGATGAGCGAGTTATTTTAAGCCTAATGTACCAGTGAGATTGCCACTGGAAAGAAGAAGGAGGGTACAAAAATTAGGTCACGCGAGGCTTTAGAGATTAAGCAGGCCTGCAGTGTGCCAAGAAAGTGCCAGCTCCAGCAGATGAGCCGGGACTTAGCAGAGCGCCGACTGCTGACTGGAGGCGGGATTGAAGCTGTGTCCCGTTCCTGAAAGAAAGAGTTCTGCGGTGGATTAGCAATGTCTGCTGTGAATGAGGCCTGGGAGCGGGGCCTCCAGGGTGGTCTCAGTTCTTCACAACGGGGCTCCTTTCGAAACTTGTGGAAACGCTTTTGGCTGTTGCTGTGAGTTAAGGGGAGGGGAACGACAGGAGACACTCCTGGCATGAAGGAGGCAGGGGCTACGTGATGCTAAGTGACCAGGAATGGGAAGGCTGGCCCTTCGTAAAGCAGCGTTCTAGGGCCGGGCAAGGCACCGACCACTAATTCCGTTCTGGGTTTGAGGCTGGAATGAGAACATCCCATAGTGAGATAAGGATTTATACCTCTCCAGGCTTTGCTTCATGACCTTGAAGCTGCCTGACTCCCTCCCATGATGCACTTTCTCTCTGAGCAGAATGCGTTCCTCTTTCTAGTGGTTTGTATCACTTCCTGTTGGTTCAGTATTAGGGGTGGAAGACCGGAAGGGACACAAGTAAGACTTACGGATTCACTCTACCTCTAGTCACACTTTTTTCTTGCGCTCTCTGCCTGTCTGTCTCATCTTTCTTCTCCGTGTACCGTGTGTTGATAAGCGCGTCTGTGGAGTAAGTCCTTGCAAACTCAACATCCTCTGGGGGTCAAGGACGTATGTACACCCTGATCACTAGTGGAGACCACAGCGAACCGGGCAGTACGTGCCTATCTGAAGGGAGCAGTCCAGGCTGATTGTTGCCTTGTGGAAATGCAGGCCCCAAGTGCTGTATCTCTTGGGACTGTTGGGTTTTTCGTTTGTTTGTTTGTTTTTCAGATGGGGGCCCTATGTTGCTCAGACTCATCTCGAAGGCCTAGACTAAAGCAGCTCTTCTGCTTCAGCCTTCCGAGTAGCTGGGACTACAGGCACATATCACCCTGCTTGGCTTTCTTCTAGGGTGTTGTGGGGTTTTTTTTCTTTGTTTTGCTTTGTTTTTGGTTTTTCTCTTGCTGAGGATTGAACCCAAGGATGCTTTACCATCGAGCTGCACCCCCAACCCTTTATTCTGAGACACTGTCTAAGTTCCCAGGCTGGCCTTTAACTAGGGATGCTCCCAAATTAGCCTCCTGGATGGCTGGGATTACAGGTGTATGCCACTGTGGTCAACTTGTTTTCCGGTTTGTTTGTTGTTGTTGTTTTATTTTGTTTTTTAAGGAAAGTTGGCCACCTAGATTTTCATATGAAACTTCTAATGGGGGATATCTGATGATTGGCCTTCAAGGGCTTTGCACTAAGCTATGTCCCAGCCCTTTTAAAAATTTTGTTTTTTTTTGAGACAGGGTCTCACTATGTAGTTGAAACTGAGCTGGAACTCACTATATAGCCCAGGCTGGTCTCAAACTCACAGTAATCCTCCTGCCTCAGCCTCTGAGTGCTGGGATTACAGGCATGCGCCACCACGCCCGGCCCCTTTTAAAAAGTTTTTAAATTTTGAGACAAGGTTTCACTAAGCTACTGAATTGCCCTGACTGGCCTCAAACTTTCAATCCTCCTGCTTCTGCCTCACAGAGTTCTGGAATTACAGGCATGCCCTATCACAACTGGCTGAAACTTCTAATTTTAAGTATTGACAAATATTCCTATTTTTCTAAGACATAGCAGGGCACAAAACATTATTTGTAAGCTGACCATTTGCAGTCTGTAAGGCCAGGCTAAGATAGAAACTCATAATCTCTGATTTTTGTGAATCTAACCATGAACCTAAAGCACACACCAAAATGCTTGCTCTTCAGAGGGAAAACAATAGAAACAACTATGGGAACACAGGAAGGGTGTCTCGATATGACTGGCAGAGTCAAGGAAGACTTTATGGGTGAGAGTTTTCGAGCTGGGAACTGAAAGGTAAGTAGGAGTTTGCCTAGTAGGCAGACTGGGAGAGGGCATCCTAACCAGCAGGAATGGCACATGCAAAGATGTGGCAGGAGGGGTGAGTGGCTCTTGGAAGTGTACCTGGAATACCAGGACACTGATTGCGAAGGGCACCGTGATGGCAGGGAATAAAGTCGCACTTTTGAAAGCTGCCTTTAACCTGGCTGTCAGAACCCTTGAAATTTGGCAAAGCAGCTACAGTACCGTGCAGCTGGCAGTGCAGTAACAGAAATGCCCTCGAGGTGGCGCACAGGGGCAGGATTTTCTTTTTCTTTTTTTTTTTTCTTTTTGAGAGCCGATCTGAATCTGTCATTCAGGCTGACCTAGAACTCACTTTGCAGCCCACACTGGCCTTGAACTCGAAGCAATTCTCCTGCCTCAGCCTCCCAAGTACTGGGATTACAGGCATGAGCCACCATGCACACGGGGGCAGGATTTTTTTAAGGACTGGTGCTGGTGCTGGTGCTGCTGTTGACCCACCAGGGAGCAGGAGGAAGCTGCCGATAAGTCCAGCTCTCCACCCCTACTCCTACCAATGATGATTTCTTTGAAGGTTGACATGGTTTCCAATTCTGTGCATTGAAACAAAATGAATGTGGCTTCTGAAACGCCACCCAGACCCAAATTCCAGCCACTCAGCCAAGCCACACTGGAAAGTTGAGGCTGGGTGTGCTTTGCCGAGAAGGTGGAGGGAAATTCTCTGAGTAGCCTTGCCTTGCTCCAGTAAGAAGACTCTGGAAAGCTCTATTAGAGACATAGTGAGAGGTGTTGAAAAGAATTGGAAAGGCAGACAGAAGTTTGTAGTGACTTTGCCATTTGGTAGTTTGGATGGATGATCTTGGACAAGTCTACTCAGGTCTCTGAGACTCAGCCTATTGATCTGTAAAATGGGAATAATTCTCACCCTCCTGTTTGAGGTCATTATGAAAATTAAGTGAAGTAAAGCACTGTACCAGCAGGGTATGGTAGTACACACTTGTAATCTGAGCCCTCTGGGAGCTAAGGTGGGTGTATCGCAAGTTTGAGCCAAGCTTGGGCAACTCAGTGAGACCCTGTGACAAAAAAAAAAACAAAACGCACAAGAAAAGGGCTGGGGATGTAACTCAAAGTGAAGGCCCTGGGTTCAACTCCTAGCACCACCAAGAAGAGGGGGGGAGGGAGAGAAGGAGAAAAAGAAATGCCTTAGCGCTATTTCCAACCCACATATGCTCCATAAACATGTACCCCATTAGTGATAACATTTGCCATGCACTGTGATTATCTTTATAAATTGCCCGGTACTTTGTAGTGGAATTCTCTTGGGTTCTTAAATCATTTCAACAATCCCATTAGGCGGGTATTACTGTTATTCCTATCTTACTTGTATGAAAGCTGCAACTCTGAAAGGTTAAGGAACTCACCAAGGCCACACAGCTATACAGTGGGTGTCACAGCCTTAGGACCTAGGAAGTGGGGTCGGAGCCTGGGCCCCTGGTGAATACCACGTCTCCCTGTAGACATTCCAGAAGTCTGTCTTTGTCTTCCTTCAGAACAGCAGCTCAAGGTGG